TGAGGAAACCTCCACATGCCAGCATTTTTTCGGTCTGCTGGGTTATCAAACGAGCACTATCTACACTTTCAACTGACTGTAAAATATCATCTACATAACTGTTTCTTATCACCATTTTTGATGCATCTGGGTAGATGTGTTGATACATTTTTGCTGTTTAATGTAATGCAAGCGTCGAAATCGCTCCACTTGGTCTGTCGTCAAAAGTAACTGTTAACAATGCATAATGATCTGGATCTCTGTGTGTTTCTAAATTTCTCCAAGCAAATCGGTGTGTGTGCTGATCTAACGGTAAAAGTCTAATCGCATGTGTCTTTCATAATCAACTTTGAAACTTGGATAATCACGAATGGTGCCAGCAAAAATAGGAGCCTCTAATTTTTTCACCCTAAAAGTTTCAGTATCTTTACTTTTCTTAGCATGCTTCATCGTGTTTTTTGTTCACTTAGTTTACTGTCTTGTTCACGTTTTATCTTTTGTTTTAGATTCTCACACAATGATCTTGATTTACAAAGTTCTCGGTACATACCAGTTAGATCATGATTAAGTTCATTTATCTTTGGTTTGTCGTCTTCACCTTCAGAATCAAATGTTTCTAGTTCTATATATGCTGTTTCCAAATCTTGAAGTATTTTTTCAACCACAGTTGTCGCTAACTCATCCTGTATTCCTTCTAATAAACGACCATATATTCTATGAAATCTCCTTTTGGCTGTTTTTCTTTTCTTCTTTGTTAATCTTATGTGATCGGCATCAACAGACATCTTGCCTTGCGTTGAAATGTATGAAGATAATTCGTCAAAGGCTGTAAACTTTTATTGTAATTGATGTTTCAACCTAAAATACACAATATGACATTATTCAAATAACACACAAGTCACAAGTTTGATATGTTGACATCGCGATTGATAAAAGTTAATAAGACACAATAAGCAGTTCAAACATCCGCGAAACAATAATGTTGCATATCACTTACGCATTGACGGCCTATTTCATATCAATCATTTGCTATTAACTTGTTGGTTTTCCAGGATGAACAAAACAAGTTCAAAAACCATTCAAGGGTTAATCGAGAAAGGGGAAAGAAACGAGTCTGTATACTATACTTTTCTTCTCATAATTATACCTCCATTATTTGGAGTACCACTTCTTTAACGTATACTGTACTTCATCACATCATCAATTCAGTAAAAATCCGTCATAAAATCAATACTAATATCGGAAAATGTTATCAGATTAAAATAATCGCCATACAATCCGAAATTAGTTATCAATCAAAGTTATAATGTTTATCAATCCGATACAAGCATTAGTCTTTCTTTCCGGCGACATCAAGTTGACACGTTGTTTCACTGCTCCGAAGTTTTTTGGAGTTTGTATTTTTTTTTGTTGAAAGTTTTTCAATAGATAAAGACATTTTTTGATTGTGGTAGAAACAGACAGAGTAATTATGACAAATACGTCTCTCAGTGAAGACGATACTTCCTCAGTCAGGCAAAAGGTCGTTCAGGACACTGGTAAAATAGATAAAATTTCGAAAAAGAAAACTAGAGGTAAGAAGTCGTCTAAAGCAAAAACAGATGATTCAGGCTCTAGAGAATACATGGGAAAATAGTTTCTCCAGCTTTGAGGCCAAATATGGACTTGTTCATCAGTATAAACAGTGTTGACAAGGAAACTGTCAACAGTTGTAGTGAGCAGAGACCTAGTACATCATGCGAAAATGTGGAGAAATACTCCTTTGGGAGTGCGTAGACCACAAACTGATTTAGTTTTTGTTTTCCTGTTGAGCAGGAGAGTGATTGTGTGGATGCTTTATCACTTAACCCAAATGACAGAGTGCATGATATGGGTATGTGTTCAGATGATGATTATCTTGGATCTGTGAGTCATGCTGATGTTAATATCAATATATCTACATGTACGTCAAAAAAGATTTTGTAAATATTTCAATTTTAGTAAAAACAAAGTTCGTGAAAATGACGCTTCTGAAATTTCAGACAGTATTAATTTATTTTCTTCGTTTGGAGAGGATGCTAAAACAAAAACAGAAAGTGAGTCTGTTGGTATTATATTAGATAAAATTAAGATTGAAATATTATCACACTCTTGGCATTCTAAGAATACAGGTGCAATGACTGCTAACAAAGATGAACATAAAACATGTTTTCCTGTTCATGACAAATCTGTCGAACATTTATAGGTACCAACTTTAGATGATATGGTGTCTAATTTGCTTCATAGGAAACATGGAACTAAAGCTTTGTCTTTCAATGGCAAGAAGAATAGTATACATACACCTTTTGTCAATGGGATAAAACAAAACTTGCATATCAGGGACAGATAGCTTCTTATACATCCTTGGCTTTCAAATATTTGACATTGAGCGTTCCTGATGAAGGTAAATCCATAAAAGTGTTTCGGACGCATGAAATGTATAACGTGTTGTTTTCATTTTTAACAGCACTTGGTCGATACCTCTGCTGCCGGACTATCAGTCCCCGATGGTATCATTAGCTCAGTAGTCAGTACTTCGGTACTGACATAATATATATATAACAAACCTTTTTAAAATTGTCCGTATATAAATTTTGAAATTATTTAGAAACTAAGGTTTCAACTCCCTCAGGTAAAGTTGACCTTAGATAGATTTGTCTATTTTTTAGGTCCTTTTGGGTCGTATAGCTTTTTGACTATTTCGGTTCTTATACATCCCTGGCTTTGAAATATTTGGCATTGAGCGTTCCTGATGAAGGTAAATCCAGAAAAGCGCTTCGGACGCATGAAATTCATAACGTGTTGTTTTCATTTTTTACTGTACATACAATATCAAAATCGATAGTGAACACCTTTCAAATGGATTATGATAACAAGAAACGCATTAAAGCACATTCAGCGAGGGCAATAGACCCATCATGGGTTTTATTTCAAGGAGCTTCACTTAAATCGATTCTGGATTCTGCAGATTGGAAAAGAGAATCTACTTTATTAGATTTTATCTTAGAAATATTGACGTCAGTGTTTTATCACAAGACTAAAACAACAAAAAAAGGGAAAGAAAATAGAAAAAAAAAGATGTAAATATTGTATATAAATAATTCTATCAAATCCGACAAGTTGCGCAGAGACATATGACTTCTTTTTAGATTTTAAAAGTAGTCAATTTAATTGATTCATGGATTCTTGATAGACATTAATAGTCAAGACAAGGAAAAATCAAGGAGGGGAATTGAAATAAGAAGTGTAAACGATGTACATATTTTATTTGAATAAGAAATTACATCCCACCCAAAGATACAGAAAACGCTTTGCAATCTGGAGTAATCCAAATTGTTTACTTGATCAGGTAAGTGTAAAAAAAATAAAAGTATTCAATTTGTTCACAAATTTGTTGTTGGGAACGTAGTTACACTTACCTAAAATACCTCCCTCCCTAAGTATTACTCTGGCGAGATCAACTTGAAGTTGCAGGAGACTGATGATATACGCAAGCGCATAACTGATTCAGAAGGTGATCGTGTATGGCAGTGAAACGCTCAGAGCTTTGACTCTTAAAATCGAACATCACGTATCAACTTTGAAAAGCTATCTGTCCCGATGTATAATGCCGATAGGGCTTATTTTTAAAGCTTCACCTCTTACCACTGGCGAGCAGTCTATTAGATTTAGAAACTGGTGGAATATATCCTAAATTGCTCACCACGAACAATCCCCTCCAAGACATCTTGCGCATTGTATCCAGGAATTTGAATAAAAAATAATTAAAAGATTTAAACGAGACGGCGTACTTTTAGACACTTTTACACGAGAGTAGATCACCTGAACATTCAATCGTACCGACATATGCGGAAACAATCTCAGAATCACACTTGAAGAGAAAAAAAGCAAATTTGTAAGACCTCTACAAACATAGGATACCGAGACTAAAGTATTGTCAAAAGGTCTTATTTTCTGTCCTACGCCGGTCAAAATTGATACTTTACTTTTGGAAGATGACCTTGACAAATTAGCAAGATCTTGCAGAATCCAGGAACACTTTTCTAACAATGACACTACTAGAAGTAACACTCAAGGGGACATAAATGATCTCTCTCGACTCAGATGAAGAACAAGAAGCTTTCGAAATTCTAAGATTCAGAAAAAAAAGTTCATGTTTTGCTAAAAAACCCACAAAATGTACCACTTTAGAACATATTATTGACAAAATTAAAACTGTCCACCACCACTTCCCAAACATTCAAAAACCTGAACCCTAAGCCGGGACGTTTCTGTCTTCTCCCCAAATTACACTAAGTCAATAATCCAGGAAAACCATTAGGTTCTATGACCACCCTACAGAGAAAATATCAGAACTAATTGACTTTCATCTAAGACCACTTGTAGAATATATTACCTTCCGCAATATTTGTGAAAATAAATAAACCGCGAAAAATGTACATATAAAGTGTACTAAATCAATAATTTGAGATTAACAACGATCATAGTCAGAAGTCATCTTCAATGGTGTGACACATTATATTTAGGTGTTGCACTCATCAAAGGGTTAAAAAGTTATGTAACGAACAGAAAATGTGAACAAATCAAGTATTGTTATCTTGAGGTCAAAGGTCAAGTTCATATGAAACTCATGATGATATGCTCAAGGCCATCTTGTGGTAATACACCTTCACATCAAAAGATACAATATTCAACCAAACAATGTTGTATAAAAAGAAAATGAGGAAGAAGAAACACAACTAAAATATGTATATATCTCTCTCTTTGTTTAAAAGGAAAAAGAATTAGAAAGCATTTAAATAGTACAATGTATATATATTATGTTAGTTTTCCATACATAGTTGTTATACGTAGCTAAGTAACTTCTTATTTAAGTTCGTAAAATGGAAGATATATAACAATAGGTATTACGCACGAGTTTCGGATGAATCTGGACATATTACGGATAGGAACCAACGGATGTTTTACGTCCATAGATATTTTACCTATAATTTTTGTTATAGGTACTAAAAAGTTTCAACCTTGGATGAAGTCTTTACGAACAACTTTAGCAGTAAAAATAGTGTGTATCGCTCTAATTGCAGGTAAACTAGTTACTACAATGTTAAGCATTTAGTATTAATGGAACAAATAACGATTCACGTTTTATGTGTGCATTTATTTGAAGTGTCGTAACTAAATCTAAAAGGACATATTAACTGAGTGAAATGCCCTATCTAATGCACTTTAACTAATAAGTTAAGATCGTTTGTTTAAAACCAACTGTTTTAGCTTGAAACAAATCTGCCACAGTTCTTATCAATCGTATTCTCATTTTTTTTTATTTGATAAAGTTAACAGTAAACAACATAACAGTATTGCAAAGAATACGACTAGTAGAGAATACGTAAAAAATAATATAAGATATTAGGTTTATAATTTCGAACCCCATACGCGTTTTGTCGAAATATGACTCATCAGTGGCACATAAAAGGGTTAAAAGTGTTCTAGAACAGTTTTGCCCTAGAACTGCTCTAGGTTAGAATTATCCAAATATATTCTAAAATTGAACTGTCAGGATCCGAACTATGGAAGAACTGTAAAAATATGTACATTTGTAATAGGGTAAAACTGGTGAAACCTGTTCCACGTAAGAACTTTCCGAAAATTTTATAAGGTTGAACTTTTAGGATATGACAGTTGTTTTCCATTCGTTTGATGTGTTTGAGTTTTTGATTGTGCAATTTGATCAGGGACTTTCCGATTTGAATTGTCCTTGGAGTTCGGTATTTTTTTTTTTTTTTTACTTTTAACTAACTATGTAAGGTCACATTAGGGACATAGTTAAATGCTGCACACAATCTGATGGTGCATTTTATACACCATCATCCCAACTGAATATGTCAATGTCAATGTCAATAGTCAAAATAGTTTGGTCTCGGGACAAGGTTTAAAAGAGAACAATAACAAGAAAAAGTAAAAAAAATATAGTACAACATAATGTCTTATTGAAGAAAATAGACATTAAACCAGAAACAATGTAGAAGGATCCAAACTATAAAGTATCCCAAACTTCATGCTAAAGTGAAAAATCAAACTATACATTCACCATGTTCACTGTGTCTAAACTAACCCACTTACCAACAGACATAGAAAAAGTAGGCTTTCAGTCTATTTATTTTTTTTTTTTGTGATATTGAAGAACATACATACAAATATAACTGTTTTTGATTGTGAGATGTAATATTTTCTACAATTTTTCTAGATTAATGGAGAAATAAGTAAATAGGCACATCAAAATGGTGAATTGAGTGAACCTTGCCTTACTCTTTAAATTGTGCACATTATACGGAAGGAAAGGTACTCAAAGAAATATACATATTAAGATGGAGATTGCAAGACTATTCACTTTGTGCACCTATTACATGTAACGTCATTATAACTACGTCTTATTAAGAACAACCTAAGTGGTCATTTACCCCTTTGCGCTGCATGGACATTTATTTACGAGGGCGAAACTAAACAAATAGTACATCATGGTTTTGAATTATAGATTTCAGGTCCGGAAAAAAATAAAATAGCAAGAATACCCAACTCCAAGGAAAATTCAAAACAGAAAGTCCTTTATCAAATGGCTAAATCAAAAGCAAAAACACATCAAACGAATGGAAAACAACTGTCATATTACTGACTTAGTACAGGCATTTCCTTATGTAGAAAGTGTTGGATTAAACCTGGTTTTAAAACTAGCTAAACCTTTTACTTGTATGACAGTCACATCGACTTCCTTTATATTGACAACAATGTGTGAGCAAAGCAGACAAAATAGATAAATTTGTCAAAAATTATGATACAGCAGTCAACATTGTGTTATAATCTTAATCACTATACAAACAAATAAATATTTCAACAAGGAAAGACAAAATGGCATATAGGCACTCTATAGACAAAGTACATAGCCAAAAATTGAAGACAAGATCATAACACAATAATACAATAGCGGGATGTACAAATACCAAGACACGCCAAAAGTGTATTACCAAAAACGGACTAAACAGTAAAGATTAAAAGTGTATACAAAGGCAAACAAATAAAACACTATAAAACGTCCTCAGGAATGATAATGTCTTTTACAAATATAAGGCACTGATTTTCGATTGCATCTAAACCTAAATATGATGTCATAATCTGAACTATGCGACGGTTGATTGGCTAGAACGTTTCTTCGACGTCAAGTTTGAGCTTATTATGGACAGCTGATCGGGCACCATGTTATGATAGAAGTCAGGGTCAACCACAAAAACACGTCAACAGGAGAAGGATGCTTATATTTTGAGGTAAGTTTGTTTCAAACTATTTTAGCCTTTAACTGCCAATATTCGTCGATATTCATTTTAAAGATGATTCAGTATGGATGTAGATAAAGCTATATAGAAAAAGTAAAATAACATAAAATACCGAACTCAAAAGGAAAATTCAAAACGGAAGTCCCTTATCAAATGGCAAAATCAAAAGCTCAAACACATCAAACAAATGGATAACAATTGTCATATTCCTGACTTGGTACAGGCATTTTTTTATGTAGAAAATGGTGGATTAAACCTGGTTTTATAGCTAGCTAAACCTCTCACTTGTATGACAGTCGCATAAAATGTCATTATATTGACAACGATGTGTGAACAAATAAAAACGTAGTTTACTTAAAAAGGGGGCTATAATTTGTTGAATTCTCAGGTTGTGTTACATGTTTCGCTGTGAACATGACTAGGACAGTCTAAATAGACAAATTTTATGCAACCCTGTTTTATTCATTTAAAAATCATATCTTCGTTGACTTTTGACTAAAAAAAAAAAATGAAAACACGTTATAAATTTCATGCGTCCGAAGCGCTTTTCTGGATTTTCCTTTATCAGGAACGCTCAAAGCCAAATATGTGAAAGCCAAGGATGTATAAGGACCGAAAACGTTGGAGAGCTATAAACCAAAAAGGACCTAAAACAATAGCCAAATCCATCTAAGGCCAACTTTGCCTGAGGGAGTTGAAACCTTGGTTTCTGTATAATTTCCAAATTTATATACGGACAATTTTAGATAGTTTGTTATAAATCATGTCAGTACCGAAGTACTGACTACTGAGCTGATGATACACTCGGGGACTGATAGTCCACCAGCAGAGGTATCGACTCAGTGCTGTAAAAAAATGAAAACACGTTATAAATTTCATGCGTCCGAAGCGCTTTTCTGGATTTACCTTCATCAGGAACGCTCAAAGCCGAATATTTGAAAGCCAAGGATGTATAAGGACCAAAAACGTTGAAGAGCTATAAATTAAAAAGGAACTAAAAACAATAGCCAAATCCATCAAAGGCCAACTTTGTCTGAGGGAGTTGACTACGTTTATGTCGACATTTTGAAGACTGTCCTTCCATGCACAGATGCGGGTTCAACATTTTTTAATAGGGGGCTCATTAACAAGGCAACGTACGTAAGGAGTTGAATTTGCTTAAAGTTCGAGCACCATGCCCGCACCTCTATTTGCCTCTTATCTCTTAAGCATGTCATAATTCGGTGGCAAACACTTGACCTATTAAAATCTATTACATCTTTTTCTGTTATGAGCATGAATCTTCAGATTGCTTTAAGGCACATGAAAAAAATATTTCCTTAGGTTATTATTTCATTGGATAACATATTACAAAAACAAAAGAACGAAATAGTTAAAAATATATGCATACACGGCACTGTGCATGGATCATACTAATGGCTTGCATGAATATGATACAATTGCATAGGTAGGCACATGAGATATTATGAATATGTTAGAACTATCAAATATAAGCATTGTCATAAATGAAAAAAAAAAAAACAATTTTCATTTATGGTTTTAAATTTGATAGTCATTATACTATCATTTTAATTCACTCCTTTTTGTGAACATTCAATTTTTTTCATTTATTTGTTTATTCTACTTTTTATGTTTATAATCAATATAGATTAATGTTTATTTGTTATATTGATTAACTATAAAAAAAAAAGTCTATGTTTCTATATGCAGATCTTTTCACATTTTGACAAGCATCATGCACTTAAAACAGTATATACATAAATCTTATTTTTGTTTATTTACTATTTGGTATGTAAATTTTGTTTGAAACCTTTCAGTAATTATTGTAACTTCTTTTGCAGAATGATTTACACTACACATTAAAATGAAATTGTAATGCCTAAAGACATGTTGTTTCCATAATATCAACCAAGAGGTCTTACCAATGTAAGCATTAATATAATAATGTATGAGAGTCTGGGTGTGGGTCCTTCATTTCTTTATTTCACTGTTTAGCCCATCTTCTCTATTCTTTATTTATTTTGCCTGTTATTCTCTATATTTCAACACTCAATTATTCTATATGATTTTTGTTCCTATTTTTTCCTATTGTTTAATTGTTTCCCCTTTATAATGCACTTTTGCTCATAATTATTATCCATTCTGTAAACCCCATTCATATCCTCGTGAACTAGGTGCACATAAGTTTTCTGCTTCATTGAGTTGCATTCAGTCATAATTAATAACAAATTTGGTTAAGCATTGTGAAGGGTAAATATCAGTCAAAGTAACCTGTAGTTAAACTTGTATTGTAGTTTTACCGAAAGCTCAAAAAATTAAAAATACATTTTAAATCAATACAGAGCTTTATTCAAGTTAACTCCATAATGATATAGGAACAAAAAAAAATGAATATGAATACCATAACTTTTGACTTGCCAATAACTGTTTTTCAATATCAAGATGACTTGGAAGCAATGGTGTAATAACAGTTTTTTTTTCAAACTGAAATTGAAAAAAGTAATCAGAAAAGAACTTGCTTCATTTGAAGATCAACACACACAAGGAAATTGTCAGACTATTTATAACCATATACATCATATACATGTATTGAAATAATTTCAGATCAATGCAAGAAAAAAGAAAGTTTCCAGGATAAAAGTGTGAGGATATATAACAACATTGTAACAGTGCTTGATATGGTATATTTTATGCAACGTCACATGTGAATTTACAAAAAAAAACTTTAGAATGAAGCAATTTTCAGTATGACAACAAAG